CCCCCCTCTAAAATCAATTCTCTCCTGGAGATTGTCTTCGTGAGCCTCTCATGATTTCAGGATAGTTGAAACCCTCTTGAACATTCAGAAAGAGTGAATATGAAATTCTAATCACGAAAGGTGTTCCCCGAGGGGATACATACCTAGAGTTTGTTTTGTGAAGCACGTCAATTCTCTCCTGGGGAGCGTCTTCGTGAGCCTCTTCTGGTTTCAGGATAGTTCAAATCCTATGATGTTCCGATTCAATGCTCACCGATGATCTGAGCCATGGGGCAAGTTTGTTTTCCTAAGAATCTTTTTGAACATTTCGAGAGCACATGTTTGAACATTTAAAGTGCATATGAACATATATGTACGAAAGGTCGCCTCCGAGGGGATAAATCACCATGTCGAACATTGCATTTTTGTTCCTGCCTCTCGCGTTCTCTTCTCTTCCCGCTGTCCTACCTTTCGTGTCTCCCTCCTCTCAATTTGTAAGCACAGTTCGAGGGACCCTGAAGAAGCCTTAGAGAGTTGTTCACCCCCCGATGGGTATGGTCACGGAGTACAATTGAATACATTTGACCCCTTTGATGACAGCTAAGGGATCTGTGGTGTCCTTGGCGTCCATGGCTTTGGCCAACACATTGTAGGCACTGACATGTTCATGTGTGTTCTGAGACAGGGAAGGCGGACTGCGCTCTTTGTATGGGCCGCTGTGAATGGGCTGCAAGCATGTAAGTCTGTAAGTCTTAGCTTTTTCGCGAGAGTAGAGGACTGATGATAGCTTTTGGAATCCCTGATTCTGCTATCCAGCTTTTGACTTAATTAAGTTGTATTGCATCAGTTATACTCCTTGCATATGGCTGATGAACCCGTCCAACCTACGTTGCAAGAAAAGGGATTTGGATCATGAATTCATGTGGATGCAGACGCCCGTGAAGCAGATCAACTCTATGTTTGTGATCGCTCTGGTGGTTTTCTGTGTTCCGGACACTTGGTCCATCAGCCATGTGACTTCATCTTTGGCTGCTTGCGATGAACGATTCCCCAATTTACAGGGGATGACTGGGGATGACTCCTAGATGTGCGGTGGGGAGTGGTAAATACCACCCCTTTTTTCTTCTTGAGCAGGCCAGACACCAGTGTGAAGCAGCATGTGGTTCAAAAGACTGTGTTGAAAGTAGGAGGAGGAAATACTAGGGTCAGAAAATGCACACGTCACATCAGTCACACCATGAAAATTCCAGCTCCATACATGAAAGGTTGCGCCCCCCGGCGGGATCAACTCCCCTGGGGCGGACGAATTTATTTTCCATTGTAATATGGCTTCGTGTGATTGGATTCCGGCGACACAACATAGCAACTATATAGCTAGCTGCTCCCATGGTTATCCCACAAAGCGGATATTTTGCGTGCTTTGTGAACGTCACCGGGGCCAGACCACGTGATAGATATATAAATACGTTTTTTGCAAACACAGTGAGCAAACCTGCCTGTTGAGATGGAGACCTGGCAATGCAACCGATGGAGACCCGCCATTACAAAGGACCCACCACTGAAGCCTCAGCTATCGGACGCCAAACCTGCCAAGACCCACCTCTTCAAAACCTAGTTTGGGGGTTGGACACTTTCTCACACCTTTCGTCCACCTCCACCCCTCAAGTTCTCAATGATGTGTAGCATATTATATGAACTCCATGGCTTACTCGACTGAACGTACTTGAAGGCCAAGTTCTACCCAAGCATATATTTGAGTACGACGCCTTGATTGGAGGATCCCTAGCAAATCTCCAATTTGTTTACTGTAATTTGTTTATGTTTGTTCTATTTGCATTTGGCCTTTAAATCACTTTGACCTAGTCGAAGATGTGACTACACCACAGGCTTTCACACACTGAGCCAGTCGCAGCCTTTGTCAGCAACAGCGAGCTTATGACTGACCGGACGTAGCAAAGACGCAAACGAACACACTTCGTTTGGCCTGTACTGTTTTTTTGGCCAAAGCTGCTCATCTTGGACTGGAAGGAACGTTTGCTTGCGCAAAAGAGTCAACCCGTAGAATGACCTGACAGAAGCAAGTCTTGCTGAAGTTGGGTGAGATGCAGAAGAGATCCTTTAGGCAATGGCCATCCAAGGCCCTTAGGCCCCAATCCACTTCAGCTGTGCTTCGATCGACGCCGCCGCACGGTGTTTCTGGGCGATGGTTCCCATCCTTCGGATCGCTCGATCCGTAATGCCCAGATCGGTCGCTGCTGCACGGTGCTGATCGTTCTGCGTCCCCTTCCCGACGCCGTTCGGCCCGTGAAACAGTTTCGATCGACTGGATGTCGACGTTTTGGACGGATGTCGGAAAACCAGATGTGACGTGTTTTTGTCCTGTGTGGTGAAACTGGCTCACCAGTTTTTAGGAGAAGCTTCGCAAAAAAGTCACGCCATGCCCTCTAGCTTATGTCAGCTTCACTTTTACAAAGAGGAGCGTTTTCGGCTCCAACCTGCAAAGCTTTCAGCTCCAACCTTTGACGATCCACAGCAGACAACATCACGTCAGTCGATTTGGAACACCGGTTGCCCAGCTCGGGTCGGAGGGCCGGAAACCACGTTCCGCAATGGCCAAGAGAAGCTTGCAGTCGCACACTCAGAGGGGATTGGCATGAATTAGGGTTGTGTGGTGAGGTTGTAGGGTCATGTTCAATGCTTCCATCCAAATTTCAATCAGGGGATGCGCAGCAACTCCGCAAACCACTGGTGAGCGATGGTGAAGGGGAATGCAGAGTAAGCCTGTAAACGTCATCGTCTGCAAGGTACCCTATGGATCCCTATGGAAGAAAGTGAAAAACTGGTCTTCGCAAGTTTCATCACACTTGGATGATCAAAGGTCTGGCACGGATATGTTGACCAGCGGACACCCCACAAATGGGACCTGTCTGAATTGAGTTGAACCAATGCCAGTTTGAAGAAATGCTGAGAAAAATGAGATCCTGCTGAGGTGGTTTCCCATTGAGAGGTCACAAACATCAAAACAATGCCCCATTGTTCGGATTGACGGCTGCACTTTAGTGCCTGCAACAACACTAGCAGCAGCTGGGCATCCTTGCTATTGCATACAGCAAATTGACTTGCTTCTTGTTCGCTCTTCTTCTGTTGCGCCAATCACTTCACCTACTTGGATGACTGCCCTAACGGCTGCAAAAATTCCAGATGCGGTACAAGAGAAGCTCATTGCCTTGGGCTACGAATCCTCGGAAGCCTTTCAATTCAAAGACGAAGGCGTACTTGAGGCATTCTTACAACACTTTCTTGTCACAGAGAAAGCTGTGGACAATGCATCCGAGACAACTTGGGCCTTTCATCCTCTGGTGGGGAAATTCAAAGCGCTTTGGAAGAACATTATGGCATCCAGAAAATCTGCGCCAGCGCCCACCGCAGACGTTGATACAGCTGCTCAATTGAATGGTAACAGTGGATTAGTGACTGCCCTGGTGGGTTGCAACCAGTCTTTGTCAGTGGTTGACCCAATGCGGCGCGATTTGGAAAAGAAGTACACGGGTACAGTTCTCACCCTGAGCTCTTTGCCCAGCATGTCTTTGCTGAATACTATACACGCGCAGAAAGTGCGGGGCACTTGAGATTGGATTCCTTGGAAGAAGATCTTGAGTGAGAAAGGAGCTGCTTCAGTGAGATGCCAAGGATTGCTTTCTAGAGGCCTTGGCTTTTGGTGCTGGTTTCTGTGAAGATCAGTGGGACAAAGAACTATCAGCAGGCCCCTTTCAAGTGCAAAACCTTTTGCAGATCCGAGCCAATGCATACAGCATGGTGGGCGCGTGTCATCTGGGTTCATGGTCTCTTTACAGCAACAAGTTCTTGGAATACTATACCAAGGATGTGGGCGAGAATTTCCGGTTCCCTAATGTGATTGAAGCCGAAGAAGCCGACCAGCAAGCTGTTCGTGAGATTTTCAGCTTATGCTTCAATGGAGCATCCTTGGATGATGCGATTGCAACAGTTGTCATGGACCGCGACATGCTGCGGCAGTTATTGTTCCTCCGCCCAAAATTGACCTTGAAGCCTCGAGATCGCGAGCCTTTGAAGAGGTCACGGCCGGTTGAAAAACCCAAGCCTGATACAAAGAAGGTCAGGAACGGGGAGTGTTTCAATTGGCATGAGGGCAAGTGCAAGAGCCGAGCATGCAAATTCCGGAGAAGCATCACGCCGCTCAATGCAAAGTGGCCAAGCAGCATGAGTGACTATAATTATGTCGATGCCCTGCAAGTGGACTCCCCGGATCAAGTGTGGACGCCTGAATCCAAATCAAGTGTGGGGTGTGTAAATTCGGAAGCCAAGTCTTCTGCTACATGTGTGTCAGCAGCGCATGGTTCTGTGCGCTCGGGCCTTCAATCCAATTTTGTGCAACCTTCACAAGTTGAGACTTGGCTGAATCCTCTACAGTTCCCGCGGGCCACGGCCTGCAATCCTCTTTTGTACAGCCGTCGTTGGCCAGCAGTTGTTCGATTCCCATTGCAGATGGGGGTGGTGTGATGTCTACAGCATGCTGGGTGATTCCTCAGGAACCTGTAGATAGGTTGAAAGAGTTGCGCAGTCTATTTTTGAGTTGGATGCGGGATTGGGAATCATCCCTCGTCTTAGGTCTTTGGTACAAGAGGGCAAGGATCAATGCTTGTTTTCGACAAGGGAGCAACAATTGCTTCAGAAGGCTTTGGTCGAGTTTCTGCAAGCACGTAGTTTTCCATGCAGTCCCCCCTCACCAACCATTCTTGCTTGATGCGTGGCAAGCCCTGTCATTGGCAACAGCAGATGTTGATGCAGAGTTGCCTCAGTTGCTTAAGGGGGGTGTGCCAACAGGTATCATAAAGCCTATTGCCCCATCCAAGGTCTGGGACAAGGCTGATGATTGTGATTTTGAGCTAGATCAGGCGTTGCAAGTTCATACTTCTCCCTGGAAGAGCGCAAGGGAAAATTTGCAGCTTGCTCGAAGTTTGATGATGCAAGATGTGGAGGCTGGTTTTGCATACATTCTGGCCGGGGGCATTGAAGAAGCCAAAAGAAAATGGGGGGCCCATGTGGCCGTGGGCCGTCTTGGACTGGCGGAAGCCCGGTCTCATGGCGATGCCAGCATAATCAGTGGAGCAAATCATGCATGCAGGGTACCTGAGAAGGTGCGACTCCCAGGGCTCCACCGTGTGCAAAGGGCGTTGTCCGGCTCAAGCCCCAGCTGGGCCTGGGTTGCGCTTTCCTTCGACGTTGCATCGGCACATAAGTTGGTGAGGGTGCGTCCAGAAGAGCAGGGAGTGGGTTGCTTTGCGCTGGGCGATGAACTCTTTGTTTATCGTTCTTGTTTCTTTGGAGCAAAAAATTCAGCTTATTGGTTTTCGAGGGTGGGGGCCTGGCTGGTTCGGATGATCCATCAATTTGTCTACATACCTCACGCTTGTCTACTCTATGTGGACAGTGGATTGTTGCTCCATGTTGCTCCTTCCCAAGGAAGTGGCGCCCTTGGTGGCCTCAGCATGCCTTAGGTGTCCCTCTTAGCTGGCGCAAAGTTTGGTTGGGGAGGGAAATCATCTGGATTGGATGGAAATTTGTCTTCTCGACCGGGCACGTAGAGCTGCCTCCTGAAAAGGCACAGAGGATACTGGATGCTTTGGAACCCCTATGCATCATAGGGCGTTCAGTGGAACGGAAAGCTGTGGAACGATTGATTGGCCTGCTTTTGTGGTACACGGGCGGTGCTGCGCACTTGCGTCCGTGGCTGGGGCTCTATCATCTACTCTACAAGCCTCTTTGCGTTTTCCGGTCCTTGACCCCTTCTCACCTCGAAGGTATGTGCAAATTGTTGGATCAGAATTTGCTTCTGAGCAAGCACATGGATGCCTGCGATCTACGCAAGGGTTGGAAATTGCACTCAGTGGCCAATTGTGCAGTCTCATCCTTGGATGCTGACACCCTGTTGTCACCGTGCTTGAAGCGAGGCTTTGTGGACTGTGTTCTACAACTTTGACAGTGCCAGTGTGCGAACCAGTGCAGATTCAGTGTGGACTTGCGCATTATTTCAGAACGCTGTCGCAGTTCAGCAGAACTTGCCTTTGCGATGCGTGGACAGCCCCGATATCCCTTGTGTTGCAGATGCCTTTGCAGACTCCTCCGGCGCTGGCATTGGGGGGTGGTGGGCCACTAGCGTGGAGCCAGTGCAACAAGATCAGGTGTTCTGGTTTAGCCTGCCTCTGGACAAGACAAACTTGCCACATTGGCTGATCTGCAAGCACCTCCAATCTTACATCGCTTCTTTTGAAGCATTAGCACAGCTCCTGCTTTTGCTGGGACGTGTGCGAGGTATGGAGCGACCATTCTCATACTTGCTACGGTTGAGGCAATTATGCGACAACGCCGGTGTTGCTGCTTGTACAAGAAAACAGCTTACCTTGAAGCTGCCGCTTACATACATCCTTCAAGCCATTAGCTTTCATGCCATTGCCCATGGGGTACAACTCACGTCAGCCCATTGTGCCGGTGAGCGGAATGAATGGGCCGACGCTTTGAGCAGAGGAAACCTCAGTGGTTTTGCCCCGTCTCGGCGGATTACCTTTGACTTGGCCGATATCCTATCTGCACCATGGTTGGCAAGTGGGCACTCTTGATAGGGAGGCTTTGCTTGGTGCCACCACTCTTACCATGCTGCCGCCTTTACAGTTGGGGCTATGATGTGGTGGCTGTGCAGTCTGCTCAGACTTGCACAGCCTTGTGGAAGCTATCCATTGAAAAAGGTGCTCGAGTGGTGAGTCGTGCTTGAACTGGGTTGGTGCTTAATGATTGATGACCATGCTGTTGCCTAGTGTTCTTTCGGAGTATGCGCCGTAGATGGATTTGCTTTGTTCCTCCCATTTTGTAATGGTTTATCCGAACAGTTTGGTGACGTCTTTGCTTGGTCCGTGGATTATGATCCCTTCCGAGCTGTGGAGCCGAATGGCCGCCTCGCCTCGCGTGGCCGCATCCGCCACACCCGTCATGAGCGGTAGCATGGAGCAGCTATGAAGGGTCAGGCATGAGTTGAACAAATAAACCCGGTAATGTTGAATTAGCAGTAATAAACCATGAGTCAATCATAATCAGCTGTTTTGGCCTGCCAGGATTTTGCAATATACTTTGAATTTAGCCAACATCCAGGCCCCAAAATGGATAAGTTTTGTGCGAATCAATTTTAAACAAGAGACAATAATGATCAGTCTTTTTTCTCCGGCCCTGCTGGCTTATCCTTGCCTTGTGCTTTCCCTTTTACTTTTAATTTCTCCCATCTTTGTGCTGCTCCTGTTCCTTTTCTTCTTGTTCTTTTGTGGGATCTTTCTTTTTTTTATCTCTGCCCATCAGATGTCCAACACCTTTGGCTAGCCAAAAACTTTAGGTTTCTTTATGCAAACCCTATCAAACAAATGCAACAAATATATTCAAAGGGTACCCCTTTACACTCCCACCCCCTGCTGGCTTATCCTTGCCTTGTGCTCTCCCTTTTGCTCTGAGTTTCTCCGATCGTTGTCCTGCTTCTTTATGCAAACCCTATCAAACAAATACAAAAAGCGATCTTCAAAGGGTACCCCTTTAGACTCCCACCCCTGCAATTATAAACCAATTATAATCAACTCCCCTGCAGCCCTGCTGGCTTGTTAGTTGTTGGGCACAGATTTCAGCCCACAAGCTGCTGCAGATCACTCAGAAAGCTCCAGAAAGTAACTAATTAATTAATTAGAATGAAAGCAAATTACAGCAGCGCGAAAGCAACATGAAAGCAAGTGAAAGCAACATGAAAGCAAAAGGAAAGCAAGTGAAAGCAGAATGAAGGCAACATCAAAGCAAATGAAAGCAACATGAAGGAAATGAAAGCAGAATGAAAGCAAATGAACGCAAAATGAAAGTAAATGAAAGCAAATGACCCTTGAGATGAGATTCTTGACCTGCAAACAAGAATCATAGGGGGGGAGGAGGGGTTTACTATTGCTAATTGAACATTAATATTGTATTAAGTAATTAAGGAAGATTCCCAGAGGTTTAGAAGTAGCTTGGCCACCGCTTGGTATTCTGTTGCTCAACTTGGAGATGCTACCTTGTCGCGCTTGCAAAACGCAGGGTTGTGCTAGGTTTGGCGCTAGGTTCAAGAGCTTAGGTAAGATTAACAAACAACACATACATACACTGGCAATTAAACTCGTTGAAGTATGAACGGACAACCTGCAGGACAAAGCAAAGCATTCTTTAGCTGAGCTCATGCTTGTTTATGTCTGGAGGCGGTTGATCGAGCAAACGCTAGACTGCGTTAACTGACGCGCGGCGCGCAATTCGACAGTTGGCATCGGACAATATCTCACAACGTTCAAAATCTTTTCTATCAATACATGTATACTTAGCCCATCCCCGGCCCAATATGCTCTATAGAATCTGGGAGCTTGAGCTTAAAATTGCTTTCGGTTTTTGTAGACAATTATCTGATAGCATCAAGTGTCAACCCATCTGAAAAACCACCACATTTAAAACACGGGGTCCAAAAATGTCAGTTTGTTCTCTCAAAACCCGATGTTTTAGAGGTCCTAACGTTTGGTTCTGAAGATAGCATCTGGAGCAAGGTTGAGAATTGATTTTAGAGTGGATGGTGTGTTGTGAGGTCAGGTAGGTTGATATTTCATTTTATAGTATTGAAATCATGTTGAGTAATAGAAGGTTGGGATTCTAGATTTTAATTCTCCACTCACCCCTCTATATTTTTCACACCTGGGCCAACATCTGTTTGTATCCAAACATGTCTCTATAAAATCAAAAACCAACCAACCTCTTGTGCAACTGTCGCCCAACCTTTTGTTTAGTAGTTAATTTCAACCTTCATATGTCCCCAACCTTCATATGTCCCTACACTTCTCTATAAAACTAAAACCAACCTCTTGGGCCACTTTCGTCCAACATTTTTCTAAAGCCAATTTCAACTTTCATATGCACTTCTCTAGAATCAAAGCCCACCTTGGCTATGCATCATTGATGTTCCAATTTGTTTGCTATCATTTTTCTTGATGATGAACACCCATACCCTGAGGCACTTGATTCTATAGAGAACATGTTTCTAGAGGTTGATATATAATTGCTTGATTCTATAGTGGGGCAAACTGCCCTCGGAGCCTGGTTTTTCGTTTTACCACCATAAAATCGAGTCTCAAGGTACACCGGTAATTCCACAGGGGATCTTTGTCCTGAACTATCAAAACTTATAAACTACTTGCTGAGATTCAACAATCAACGTGAAAATTTCAACTAAAATTTAGCATACTTTTCCTATGCTAACTAATTTACAACTTCCATAACAAACTTATATATGTATATAGTAGCTCCAACTTTCGGTTTGTTAAACAACACCGCCAATACAAACAGTGTTTCTTGATGATATCGCAAGTTTTTGAGTCAAACCATGACCTTTTTTTGCGTTTGTTGTTTGCATTTTTGGGGGGGGGCGCTACCTGCTCGCAGTAGCGTTCGGAACGGCCGTAACGAACTCGTTTGTTGTTGAAATGCGTTCCGACATGTTACGACTCAGGTCGATGGATGAAGGCAGAACGATGTTCAGGGCGGTGCCGGAGTGATTCGTCGGGGCGGTGGCCCTGTGGCGCTCAGTGGGACTAGGAGGTCCTGAGGGGTTTGGCCGGTGAAGTGGATTATGGACATCAGTTTGAGGCCACTGGGTTTTGCGCCCCCCCTGCTCTTCTACACAAAGCATGTGCTTTTTAGGTCTGCAAACGTTTGAGGGTCACGAGGGCGTATTAGAGTCTTCAGTCAGGTTCGCGACCACGGAGTACACTCTTTGCCCGGTGAAGGAGGCATTTGATGGCTAGAAAATGGGGTGTTTCAGCTCTCCATTTGCTTATATAGTGTGGATGGGCGACTTGATCCGCCCACGGTGTCACATTGATTATAAGCGTAAAAAAAATGAATTGGAAGTGGGGCCTACTGTTCATTTTAACTTGGTTTGGGGTCCTACATCATTCATCATCATTCTGCATCCATGTTGTTCTGCACAGTTAAACTCAGCTTACACTACTCGTGGGCACTTTTTTGGAAGGTCTGACTGGTCTGACTTTGAAAGTCGTGGGTTGAGAACGAAACCTGGAAAAAGTGGAAACCACTTCAGCCATTGTTTTTCCCTAGGCCTCCTACTACCTCCTGAGAAGGTGGGAGAATGGTTGGAACCCTATAGCGTCCGTAGTCGACCTCCTTAGCGTGGTTCAGGGTCCCATCCCATGACCCATGACATGCCCTTTCCCACAGGAAGTGAACGGGAACATGCCCCAAATAAAGCATAAACACTGAAAGATAAATAAAACATGCCTCTTGCTCTTTCCATTCTCTGCGATTAGGTTCGTCAGTCTTTGAACGATCCCGTCCTTTTGGTTGACATCGCTCCCAGTTCGACGTGGAGCCCCGGAGCTTCCCAAGGGTGTATCGAAGCAGGCGGGCATTGTGATCGTTCCTTTCCCAGACCGTCCATGTTAACTTACATTGGGGTCAGAAATGAGGTACAACAAATGTATGCAATTAACTAGTAACTAGTCGATCCATACATGGATGGTTTGGGTGTGGTACTGGTAGTTCTCACCAGGAGGTTAACGTAACCTGACCTGAGCCTACCAACAAGACACTGACAAACAATTCAGGTTCGTGATGTGTCCGAGAAGAACAGACCTACAGATATTCCTGGGCGGGGCAAATACCCGACAAAGAAATCAAAAGCGACCTGGTACAAGTATCTAACATGTGCAATCATGTGCACGGTATTTTGTCAGCATGCGGATTGCATCATATATTCCAGGTGGTTGCAGTAAGGCACTTTGGCTAGCTGCTAGCTCGGATCCAACACCTGTTGAGCTTAGTGTTTATGCCCAGGTGAGAAGTTATGTGCCAAAATTGCGCCGGGAAACCACCAAGACTTCGGGTCTCAGTGAAGTTCTTGCCAGTGCATCGTAGAGCATGCACATTCCAGCAGTTCCATTCCAGGGTGCTTATTGGAGGGTAGTGGTGCCATGTGGTACCCATTCTCCACTCACTTGGGAACTAAATGACGCCCCTTTGGAACGCCTGGTTGTTAGCTCATGTCGCAAGATTCTTGCAACGCTTTTCAAGTTGGCTACTTTCATAGCCCTACCAACCTGGGAATGGCCACAACAGCCCATGCGCCATTCTTGGCACAACGCTTTGCCCGGGAGGTCTTGCGTGCGGCACCGAAGGAGAATTGGAGACACCCCCTCTCCGGGGACAAGGCATGGTGGGTCTGACTGCTGGTGTTGGCACGGATTTCCTTAGCTGAACTAAGTCAACATTGGATCTTCCACATATCACAGCTATTTTTCATGTCACCCTACCAGCAGCACCGCTCAGTTCGGATGGTTTTTTTGATGATCTTGATTGGAAAACACCTCATGTGCGGGTATATAATCCATCCAAACTGGGTGGTGCTGGTTGGTTCCGAACGTGTGTGTGCAACGTGCGTTCCTCACATCTGGTCCCATGGGTTGCTGGTATTCCCTTCTTGGATTCCTCCTTGTGTGGGCAGCTGTGCCTGCCCCACCTTAAAACGTGCACGGCATGAGTGTGAGAGAGAGAGAGTGAATCA